GAAAGGTATGGCTATGGGGGAGCGGAGCAAAGAGGGGCTGATCGGGAACGCCATGAGGGGTTTTACGGCCGTCGGGGTGCTGATTTTGAAGGGAGAATAAGGGATATCGAAGGGGGATTGGGTTATGGCATAGCACGGGAGGATCAAGAGACGTGGGGGGAACTAAGCACTTGGGAGAAGGAAAATTATGGAGGTATATGGGGAAACGGCGGCGACCAGCAAGTAAGGAAACTAAAAATGACCATTTTTGAAGGGGATGATGCATATGGATGGATCTACAAAGTAGAGAGGTACTTCGCTGTCAACGGTTTGACGAAGGAGGAGAAATTATTGGCCGCGGGATTATGTCTAGAAGGGAAGGCATTCTCCTGGTACTAGTGGAGATATCAGAGGAGGCCCATCCGGAACTGGGGAGAATTTAAGGATTGCTTGATCGAATGCTTCCAAACCGATCGGGGAGGAGACTTCTATGAGCAGTTCTTTGCTTTGGTGTAGGAGGGATCAGTAGCAGACTACCGGGAGCAGTTTGAGCACCTAGCCAGTATAGTTGAGCGATTATCAGATACAGTATTGAAGAGGAACTTCATGAAGGGGATGAAGGCAGATATTTGAGTAGCAGTGAAGGTTTTGATGCCTCGTGACTTAGGGGAGGCCATGAAGTTGTCCCAGCTGGTGGAAAATCAGAAGAATCTAGAGAAGAGAGCTAAGAGCAACAGCTCAGGAGGCTCTTACAGGACGACGACCACTCTTCTAGCACCCAAGGGCATGCATCAGGCAACATTAATGAGATCACCAGGGAGAAACCAATAGGAGGAAGTGGGGAAAATTTCAAGAGGTTGACAGAGAAGGAGATGCAGGAGAGGAGGGCAAAGGGGTTGTGTTTCAGGTGCGAGGAGAAGTATACGCCAAGACATCGGTGCAAGGACCGAACTCTTCAGGTTCTCATCGTCTGTGATGACGAGGAAACTGAGGAGGGAGGTGAGGGGGAGTTAAAGGAAGAGAGGGAGGAGAAGCTGCATTTGGATCTGGCTGAGGCTTCCCTAAATTC